AGGAGGGAAGGTGAGGAGAGGTGCAGGAAAAGCAGAGGTTCAGCGAGAGGAGGATACAGGAGAGAGGCAGAGTTGGTCTATGGAGATGGTAAGAGAAGCGTGAAGTCTACAGGGAGGAAGAAGGGAAGCCGGTGCAGGGTCTCAGGTAGGAAAGAGACATGACTACAGTGTGGAGGAAAGGAAGATGTTTTGGGTAGGGATGTTCAATATCAGTTAACTGAATAGTTGAGTAACCTCATGAATTTTTATAGGTTAGTCGACTAGTGTCTAGTTCCTGGGGGTGGGGCCGGGAGCTCCCTATAATTCTGCGCTGCTGCCTCTGATACAGAGGCAGCAGCATGGGGTGACAGGAGGGAACTGATCCCCCCACACTGCTGCCCTCACAGACCAACTGCCTGTTGCCCCATGCTGTTGCCCTGTGCCTCAGATACAGAGGCAGCAGCACAGGGTGGCAACAGCCCCTGTTTAGGGGGGGGTCTGAGCTCTTGGACCCGGTACGAGCCGGAACTGAGCTGGGCTGCCTGCCTGGCTCCTAATACACTTTAAATGCAGAGCCACCGCAGAGGTAGGTCCCAGACCCGTTTAAAGCCAGAACTGAGCCAGACTGATGGCCATCCTGCTAAAAAAAATGTACTAGCAAGTGGGAGAAGGGAAATGCGTGTAGTCTATAGTAATAATCTATAAACTTTTACCTATCAGTTAATCATGTACACTATTACATCCCTAGTTTTGGGCTGCAACCTTTTGGATGTACTGGAGAGAGAAGAGTGGGAGGCAGCAGAGACAGACGGCAGATTTTGAGTTAAATTCATCAGTTTTCTTGGCTATCTAAGGAATTCTTAAAGGTTTTGCTCTTGGTCTCCCTCCTCCTTCCCAATCCTGCTTTCCCTTTGGATTGTCAGTGTTTGGGGGCTACTCCATGGGTCTCCTTGGGCCCAGGAATGGTGCCAAGGGTACATAAGAACATAAGAGTGGCCGTACTGGGTCAGACCAAAGGTCCATCTAGCCCAGTATCCTGTCTGCCGACAATGGCCAATGCCAGGTGTCCCAGAGGGAATGAATGGAACAGGTAACGATCAAGCCATCTCTCTCCCGCCCTCCTTCTCCGCCCTCTGACAAAACAGAGGCTAGGGAGGTGAGTAGTGGAAGGGGATATGGTGGGGGAGGGACAACCATTCCTTGCCCATACTGGCTAATAGCCATTGAGGGACTTAACCTCCATTTATTTATCTAGTTCTCTTTTAAACCCTGTTATAGTCCTAGTCATCACAACTTCCTCAGGCAAGGAGTTCCACAGACTGACTATGCGCTGTGTGAAGAAGTACTTCCTTTTATTTGTTTTAAACCTGCTGCCCATTAGTAACTCAGTGTGACGTCCAGGAACACCCTGCGAGCGATGTAAACCACCCTCAGCAAACGTCCCCTTTCTCTCTACATCCCCTTTCTTTGAATTCTGATACCGTGAGAGGCAAGGACCTACCACTGGATCGTTTAAAGATACAATGCAATGACTCAAAAAACTTCTCCCACCCTCTTTTTGTGATTGGCTCCCCAGACTTATCTAGAAGAGCAAAGGGGAATGGAAACTGCTTGGTGCCCAACTCCACCCCGCTCGGCGTAGTGTTCTTGGCTTTCTGCCTTTTGGAGTGGTTCTGGAGAGAGGTAAGTGATTGTGGTGGCTGCTCCGTCGTCATTTCTGGTTTCCTCGTCCGAGAGCCTGCTAGGGAGACCTCAACCGGGAGCCTGCTAGGGAGACCACAACACCAGTGGGGCTGGAATAATTACTAGGATGGGGGTGCCAAGCTGTGTCCTCCCCCCTCCCCCACCATATCCCCTTCCACTACTCACCTCCCCAGACTGATGCTACAGCTGGGCCCAGCTGCGGGGGCCTGGGCACAGGGCGGATGTTCTGAGCTCTGCAGCCTGCAGAAAAGCCTCCGGCAGGCAGGAGCCAGAGGCTGACAGTGGAGCCAATGAGACCAAAGGCTTGGACTCTAAGGGCTGGTGGCTGGGATCCCAGATAGCTCCTGCATAGTTGCCCGCCTCCTTCTCCCACACTACCTCACGCAGAGGCAGCAACTCAGGGAAGGTGGGGGAACAGATGGAGGGGGCAAGTGCTCAGAGGGAGCTGGGTTAAAAACCGGCTCCCTGTGAGCACTAACTCCTGCTTCCCACCGCCTCCCCTTGGATGTAAAAAATTCAGCACTTACACATTTACCCAAATACACACATTTAACATCTCTACCACACCTAGCCTGTAGAGAGCCAGGGCTGCCTACCCCCGGGGGGAAGGGGGAGCACAGATCCCTAGTAGCTGACAATTTTGTTCTTTTCTCCACCAGTCTATAAATCTGCCATGCAGCAGTCCTTTCCAGTGCACATCGAAGAACGGGTAGTGATCAGAGCATCAAGCAATAGTCACTCCTGCACCACTAATACCCACTGAACCATCTATTCCAGTGTCCAAATTCTGAGAGTGGACGACCCCAGCATCTTCAGCAGAAGGAAAATATCACTAATACAGCGAGGAACATTTCCATACTTGTGGGAGATATGCAAAAGCATTTTTATTTCTTTTTGCAGTAATCATCTTCTGTCCTGAAACGGTGGAATTGATTATCTTCATGCCTTTCTCCTAGCTTGGATGTAGCTACAAATGTGACGGATTATAAAGCAGATTATAGAGTCGTCTTAGAGAAGAGAAGACTAAGGGAGGTTATGATAGAGGTCTATAAAATCATGACTAGTATGGGAAAAGCGGATAAGGAAAAGATATTTACTTATTCCTTCAATAAAAGAACTAGGTAATAGGCAGCATGTTTAAAACAAACAAAAGGAAGTTTTTCTTCACTCACCACACAGTCAACCTGTGGAACTCCTTGCCAGAGGATGCAGAGAAAGCTAAAACTTTAACGGAGTTCAAAAAAGAGCTAGATAGATTCATGGAGGTTAGGTCCATCAATGGCTATTAGCCAGGATGGATAGGAATGGTGTCCCTAGCCTCTTTTTCTCTGGAGATGGTTGACAGGGGAGAAATCACATGAGGATTCCCTGTTGTGATCCCTCCCTCTAGGGCACCTGGCATTGGCCACTGTTGGCAGACAGGCTACTGGGCTAGATGGACCATTGGTTCTGACCCAGTCTGGCCGTTCTTATGTTGAGGAGATTATACAGACACCAAGGCTGTGTCTAGACTGCACCCCTTTTGCGGAACAGGGATGCAGTCTAGATATAGCCCAACACTGTTGATGCTTTACAACTGCTTTCTCATGCAAGCATCTTTACACTCCCTGTTTTCCCTCATGCATGAAGCACCTTCTCTGAACAGAGAGATAAATGCAACCTCCTTCAGATCTCATTCAAATCCATCTCTGCGATCATGCCCATAAAGGGTGAGCTAATCAAAGATCATTTAATGGGTAGGAAGGATGCACTCGCACTTTAACCTTTTATAATAATACCTTTATGTCTTAACATGTATCTGTGTGTACAATAATTGTATATACTTAATTGCATACAAATGCCTGCATTTTTCCTATGTCACTTGTCTTCTTAAACTGCAGGCTCTTGGGGTCTGGGAAAATGTTTTATCTATGTTTACCCAGCAGCTAGTACAATCCTGTCAGAGGCTTCTGGTCACTACATTAATATGAATATTAAAATAATATCAGTAACATCTTGTAACAGTGTCTTAGCTACTGTATGTATGTGGAAGCAGAATTACGTGGAATCAATTTCAAATGTACTAGCCAAGAATTTCTTTTTTACAATTTATGCTGAAGATCAGCACTAATCAGTAGTTTCCTTAGGCTAATAACACATGTGATACCTTTCACTACCAGAGGTCATTATGCCTATATCTACCCTGTGGGTTTTTTCTGGGATACCTTTGGCATCCCGGAAGAAACCCACCATGTCTAGGGAATGTGTGTGCTCTTCTGCTTTTTTTCTCTCGTCCTCTTTTTTTTTTTTCATTCTACGAGGAATAAGGGCTCCTCCAAAAGAGGAAGATTTTCTACCATTTGGTCCCACCTAGACAAAGCCAAATGGCGGAAAAGCGTCTTCTGAAAAAAAAAAAGCAGAAAAAGTTACACAAAATGTGGAGTGCATTTTGCGTATGTTTTTCTGCAAAAACATATGCTAGACCAGTGTTTCTCTGCCTTTTTTTATAACGTACCCCTTTTAAAAAAATTATAAGTACCCCCTGTAGCTACAGGTTTCAGACTCATTTTTCTCCTTCCATTTGCAACACATTTGTTTAAACAACTTAATCGTAGCTAGGCAGGCGATGGAATTTTGAGGTGTAAAAAGTAGAAAAATAAGCAAGTGCTGTAAAACGGAAAACAAAAATTCAATTTTCTCCAAATTTCAGTTGTATTGACGTACTTCTCTCCCCTCTCCCCTCCCCCCCCGACTTCTCTCAAGTACCCCTAAGGCTACTCGTACCACTGGTTTAGAAACATTGGTCTACACCTAGCCTACATGTCCATAGAACGGTAGCAACTTACCAGAAACCTCCCATCTGAAGGGTGACATGGTTGAACGGAAAACCTCCTAACCCTTGGGACGCTGGGTTCTTCTAGTGGCATGGGAAGTTGAATGGATAAGGAACACTTGTCTAGGGTTCAGGGTGGGTTATGAGCAGGTGGGACTTTTGTCTGGAGTCAGCTGACTGATCCCACCTTCTCATTTTCAGAAACTTTCCTGCCTCTTGTACCGGCACTTGACTATGGCCATCCAAGGCAGCATCCTGAGAAATGGAATTGGTATGGGAGGGAACGGGTATTTATGGTTAATTGAAGCTGGGTACCTAATTAAGTTGCAATGGGAGAGACAAAGGGTAAAAAGGAGAGAATGAGCAGAGGGGAGAAGAACTGTAGTTCTTTCAAGACCCAGGGTTTCCCGGAGGAAGATGAGGTACCTTGTTTTAAAGCTGGTTGCTGCTGGTGCTCTGCCCATCACAGTGAATGGTCTATATCAGGGTGGGCAATAAGACAGCAGCGGTTCGCCGGGATTAGCTCTGGTGGGCTGCTACCACTTTATTTACCTGCACCTCTGCAGGTACGGGCATTTATTTACCTGCACCTCTGCAGGTACGGGATCACCGTTCCTGGCCAATGGGAGCTGCAGGAAGTGTCGTTGCTTCCTGTAGCCCTAGCAACGGCAACCTGCGACCAACAGGAGCTGCAAGTACCCGTGGCAGCAGACCGCCAGGGGCTAACTCTGGCAAACAGTGTCTGATCCACAGGCGGGTTATTGCCCACCACTGGGTCTATATGCGGGTCTATATAGTGGTATGTAGGTTTGTGCAGGAGGGAGAGGTTAGCAGCATGAATGAATGCCTATGAATCAACACTAGAACTAGAAGTGACCTTGAGAGGTCATCGATACCTGTCCCTTGCACTTGTGACAGGACCAACCACCATCTCTATCAGGGCTGGATCCGGCCTGTGCAGTTGTTCCAGGCTTCACCCCCTAGTACGTTGCCTGGCAGCCATGAGGAAGGCGCGAGCTCTTTAAATAAAAGCAGTTGAAAGGGCTCTAGCACAAGGTTCCCTGTAAGCCAGAGTTACTCAACACACGCATGTGGCCTGCAGCCTGTGGTGCGGTTTGGGTTTCCTTGGGGCTCAACCTGTTAAAGAGTCTTCTAACAGATTTCTTTTGAGTGCTGATTGTATATGGTAGAACCCGGGGTGACCATTCCAGCTCTGATGGAAGAATATGGTGTTTTTGGAGAGCACTGATACAAATGGGATAATTGGGTAATTTTGGAGAAACACACACAAACGATGAAAAAAGAGGAGACTAAGGGAGGATATGATAGCGGTCTATAAAATTAATGACTGGAATGGAAAAAGTGAATAAGGAAAAGTTATTTACTTGTTCCTATAACATAACTATAACATGCATCTGACGAAGTGGGTCTTTGCCCACGAAAGCTTATGCTCCTTACACTTCAGTTAGTCTATAAGGTGCCACAGGACTCCTCGCCGCTTTTGCAGATTCAGACTAACACGGCGACCCCTCTGATACTTGGCAGATATCTAAAACTCTGATCTGAATGATTTTTTTAAAAATCCTGTGTTACTAATTAATTGTTTTGCATTAAGACCAGATCCGTGCTATGTGGTAGAGTTCTGGCTCTTAGGCGTTAGAAGTAGCTAGTGATGCTGTTTTGTAGGATGAAACCTTATTTGCACGCTCTTTGAAACATGCATCTCTCTGTCAGAAAGGATGATGATATATGTACTCCGAGGTCTCAGAGTGGGTAGTAGCCCTGTTAGACTCAAAAAACAACAAGGGTCCTGTAGCATTTTAGGGTCTGTCTACACTACTGAGTTTTGTCCGGAATACGACCCTTTTTCCAACAAAACTTAAGGAACGTCCACTCTGCAATCGCATTCTTCTGCAAGAAAATTGAAGGAACAGAGGGGGGTTTTCCAGCATTAGTAATCCTCATTCTATGAGGAAGAAGCCTTTCTGCAAAAGAACTCTTTCAGAAAAAGCAGTGTGTGGACGGGGAAGAGGGAGTTTTTTCGGAAGAAGAGGAAAGAGGAAAAAGCACAGGTGCCCTGATGGCCACTCCATCCATAGCAATCACAGCTTACATGCGAGAGAACGTCCATTCACACTGGATGTGATCTTTTGAAAAAGCAAATCACTTTTTTCATGCACATTTGCAGTATGGAGACATTCTTTTGGAAGGATACTCTTTTCTGAAGATCTCTTCCAAAAAAGGCTTCTTCCAAAAGAAACCTGAAGTCTAGACATGGCCCAGCTCTGGTACAGGTACCGTATATGCGCTAATTCAAGCTATTAGCCAGATAATTGCAAGATGGCTGCTCATCACCTGAGTACAATCCTGCATACCCTCTATGTATGTACTTGTATGACTGGCTGGAACAACATTAGTCCTACTGCTGTTATTTTAATGAAATTGTTCATGTATATATTGCCTAGTTGGGAATCACTCTCCCAGCTGTTGTGTAGACATACCGTAGGAGTATAGGTATGTGTAGATTTACTGCCCACCAACCCAGCACCTGTTAATTAGCTGTACTCACCGCCATAGCCTGGTGCATTATCAGGATGCCAGCAACTGCTGTTGTAGTTTGTATACCTGAAAGAGACCAAAAATGGAGAAATGAAATACACTTTGCGGAAATTCTTCTACTAGGCCAAATCGGAACCCCGTGCTTAGTACTTATTCAATACCCATTGTACTCAGTGAGTAAAGTTACTCACGTGCATTAATGGATTCAAGACTAAGATTCACTGAAACATATTGATCTAAAATCCCCGTGTTTGTTTAGTTCCTCTCACTGTCACATTTAGTGATATAACTTTACTGATATAAAATCTGCTGAGATTTCCCCTCTTCCTTTCTCTAACTATCAAATACTGACCTAAAACCATCCTTGATCCTGTAAGCTCTTGTGTACACAAGGACACTCGGGTAAATTAATCTGAATTAATTTTCAGAATGGATTATGTAAATCTTATTAAACCCCTGTGTAGATGCTCTTAATCAGAATTAAAATACTCTTAAATCAGTTTAGTTTAATTCATTTCCAAAGTAAAACAAGGCCACTTCAATTTTTGCACTTCAATGTTTTCTTTAATTGTTGTATATTTATTTATCTAAAAGTCCCCCAATTTTGTCTTTTTTCCTGACTATTTAGTGTCAATCTAAAATCCCCTTAGATTGCCTGCATCCTCTCTAATCATTGACGTGTGATGTCAAATCTCTTCAGTGGGGCAGATGGGAGGTTGTCATTTGTCTTGGGAGAACAAAGAACCAGTTGTAAAACCAACCCAAGTCAAATGATGTGAACTGATATGTCTACCCATCTGCCGCCAGGAGATGGCAGCCATTGCACATTGTTAAGCTGAGCTAGCAAAAAAACAAATAAAACCAGAAAGAAAGAGACTGACTCTGATTATGGAATAAAACTTTAATTTTATAAAACCCTGAATGAGATGCAGGAGGGGCAAATATTTATTCTGCTACTGACCTTCTCAGGCAAATAGTGCAATAGGCCCTTATGGGGCTTGAAGCTTTATTCTGCAGGGAAGTGAGAAATCATTAAAAGTGAAGAAGGGTTTTAAAGTAGCAACTGATTGCTCAGAGGGACCATAATGAATTCCCCAAACTCC